CAGCTTTTGGTTTTGTTGATTCTCTCTATTGTTTTTCTGTTCTCTATTTCATTTGTCTGTACTCTGATCCTTATTTTCTTCCTTCAGCTAGCTTTTCGTTTAGTTTGCTTTTATTTTTCTAGCTCCTTGGTGTTAAGTGACGCTTTTCATTTGAGATCTTTCTTCTTTTTCAATGTAGGTATTTACAGCTATAAGTGTCTCTCTGAGCATCACTTTTGTTTCATCTCATAAGTTTTGATATATTATATTTTCATCTTCATTCATCTGAAAGTATTTTCTAATTTCCCTTGTGATTTTTTGACCCATCAGTTGTTTAAGATAATGTTGTTTCATTTCCATGTACTTCTGAATTTTCTACTTTTTCTTCTGTAACTGATTTCTAGTTTCATTCCATTTTAGTCAGAGAAGATACTTTGAATGATTCCAATCTTTTAAAATCTATTGAGGCTTGTTTTGTGGCCTAACATCTGATCTATTCTGGAGAATGTTCCATGTGCACTTATAAAAAATGTGTAGTCTGCTGTTGTTGGGTGGAGCATTCTATAGATGTCTGTTAGGTCTAGTTGTATGTGAGGTCTCTGAAGTCTCTGTTCCTTTAGCTTGTGTTCAGCTAGTGTTTTGGACAGAGTTTTCTTGAACCCCAGAAGCTATTAAAAAAAGAAACAAAAGACAAAAAAGAGATAAAAAAATAGTCTTTGTAGATTGGCTCCATGTTGGTACACTCCTTCACTGCTTAGCCAAGCTGTTTAAAAATTTGTCTTAGCCTTTACTTCCTGCTTGCACTGAGCCATTTTCAAGTTGCCTTTTCCTGACTTAGCCTTTGCTTGGTTGTTATAAATTTTGACTGTTTTCCAGAGCTCTGACAAAGTTGATTATGACAGGGATTTTTTTTGGCTTGATTTTTTTAAAAAAGATTTTATTTATTTATTTTTAGAGGGGAAGGGAAGGAGAAAGAGATGGAGAGAAACATCCCTGTGTGGTTGCCTCTCACATGCCCCCTACTGGGGACCTGGCCCGCAACCCAGGCATGTGCCCTGACTGGGAATTGAATTGGTGACCTTTTGCCTCTCAGCCTTGTGCTCAATCCACTGAGCCACACCAGCCAGGGCATTGCTTGATTTTTAAAAGTGTTTCTGTGAAGGGATGGGACCTTGGAGCTACCAACTCCATTATTTTCTCTGACATCACCACAACCCTCATTCTCAGGTCCTAACCTGAGGGCATACCCCAGGAGTAAGAGTGAACTAGAAGTAGACTAGGCATTGAAGCAAAGCTTTGAATCCTCTAATTCCTGAGATTGAATTGAGATCATTTTAGAAATAGCTAGTATACCTAGCCACTTGCCAAAAGAAAATTTAAATGCTCTTTGGAAGAAAATAGGCCTCAAATTATTTCTCCATGTTTTTGCATACCATGTCCAGAACTTAATACAAATATTAACTAGGGACAGGAGGTTACAAGATTCATGAAGGAAAACTGAGGATTTAGAATGCTTTTGTGGGGAAAAATCCTTAGCAGTCTGTTAGTTTTCAGGTAGACAGGAAAGATGGGTCTCCATATTAATCAACATCCAGGGGCTCTTCTCTTTCCTCCTAATTCTCATATTACTTCAAATCCTGACTCCTGTCTTTAAAAAAAAATTAACAATGAAAACCCTCCAAATTTAAATCATATGTTCTTGGGATCTGGGATAGAAAATAATTTTTTTATTTTAATAGCCATGAAAATGGAAATTTCAGGATCTCATGAGTCATGATTGTTCCAAAGGGTTTCATCTATCCTGAATCCCACACCCAAAGCAGTATCTGAACAATATGTAGATATGACCCCCCTCTCAGCCTTCATAAATGTAAACCAGGACTGTCTAATAGAAATATAATATGAGTGACATACATTTTTTAAATTTTTCTAGTAGTCATATTAAAAAAGTAAAAAGAAATAGGTGAAGTTCATTTTAATAATATATTTTATTTAATGCAGCACATATGGTTATTATTGCAATATGTAGTCCTATTAAAAGTTTTTAATGAGACATTTTAATATTTTTATAATAAGTCTTTGAAATCTGGTGTGTATTTTGTGCCTACAGCATTCAGCTAGGCCCATTTCAAGTGGTCAATAGCCCCATAGGACTAGTGGCTACTGTATTGGACTACCAACAGTCCTGAACCAAAAAGTGGTGTTAGCATCTATTAAATTTGTATTGGCTATATTACTTTTTGGGTTATGTATTTGGAATATTTTAGAATTGAAAAAAGGGAAAACATCACAATGGGTTCAAAATCAACAAAACCCCAGGAAAACAGAGTAAATCTGTCCAAAACAATGATGTCATCAAGAAAGCAACTGGAGGAGAGCAATGGAATGAATGAATAATCATAATAGGAGATAATCAAAATGCTTTATTTGGGTTCACTATGTTTTATACTTAGACTTGCACAACATAAATGTGCTTGCTGTTTTCTGAACTCACGTCTGTGCACCAACAATTGAATCACACCTGGATGCCTGGCTTGGGAGTTGGGAACTCCTAGAGTTTTGAGATCTCTCATAACCCACCACCACCACCTGGTTTCCATCCCAGGTGGCAGGATGTCTCAGACAAATGCAGAGCAGCCGCTCTTTAACAATCTCTATTTCTCTTCCTTTGTCTTTCTCCTTACCCTCCTTCTCTTTTACTTATTTATTTATTTGCACACTTCCTTAGGCCAATGGAGTCTCCTATTTTTCCCATCACTTCTCTTGGGCTTTACTAACTAAGAATAAGCAGAAATGTTCTGTGAAGGGGTGATGTCAAATAAGAGCATGAGAATATAAATGTCCTAAGAACCATTCATTCTTTCAGCTTCCAAATCTCTAGTGAGAGCTTATTATATGCCAGACACTGTGCTAGAATCATCTACTTAAAAATAATTTAGAGATGATCCTGAAATACAGCTACCTGAAATGTTTTCATCTTTATAGCTTTCTGTGCAGTCATGCCTTTCTTCCTAGTTCGTCACATCTGTTTCCTCTGCTTTGCCCTCACAGATACTCCATGCCTCTTACGTTTTAGAGGTACTATTTGAAACTAAGGAAGCCCTGATGCAAATGCCAAATTTTACTCGTGTAAGAACTTATCCCACCAAAGAGATAACAGTTTGTGGTAAGTCTCAGAGCAGAGTTGCCAAATTAATCTTTTGGAGCCCGTTGGTTCCACGTTATTTGCCTAACTTGAAAACTGCATAAATTGGACTGTGTTAAGGGAAAAGTGTTAATATAGAGTTATCTATCATAATAATACTGTTCCCCATCTTGTCTTTGTTTTGCATACCAGCTGGCAGGAATTAATTATGTGAGAAATTAGAGAACTCATAGCTTTTTATAAAGGCAGGCAGCATTTTAATACAGAAAACCACCCATGGGTGGAATAAGTGTTCTTTGCACTTCGTCTAGCTCTCATTATCTTCGTTCCATGTTGCTTTTCCTAGGTGGGCCTCTTATGCTGGGTGGGCCTCTTAGGCCACTTATGCTGGGACGAGAAAGCCCAAGGCAGGGTGGAGATTAAACTCATCTCTGCCCTTGGCTGCCGTTTTACATTTTTCCAACTGGTCTCTGCAGCTTTTAAAAGAGTGGGAATGTCCCAGAAATCTGTTCCTTGTTCTTCTAAATAACAAGATTGAGATTTTTGTTATCCTATAGGCCAGCCTGGCAGGATATTGCTTCACGAAACAGTACACATTGAAATTCAACACAGTTGGTGCTCAGCATGCTGGCAACTGTCTGAGAGTGGAGTGCGTGGAAGGAACAGCAACTCCCTTAACTTCTAATTAAGCCTTTAGGTTACAAAACAGTGATTGTTATTTTCCAAATCAATTTTTAGCCCGTGTTTCTTTTACTCGAGCAGGTAGGAATGGATTTGACAATCTAATTAAACCATTTCCATTTCTAGCATCTGATAGTGGTGACAGGGACTTGATGTAGCAGTGCATGCTTCATGATGTGCCCTGACTCAGGTTTCTGAAGAGTCTTTAATGGTTCAATGCCAACCTAATCAGGCCATCCCATCTTTGCCTAGCAGATGACGTATCTCAGCAGTGGGTGACCTTTTATTCAAGGCCTTGCCAGCTCTTACTTTCCATGGATACAAAAGATTTGGAGTCACAAGGCTCAGGAAGCCATGCCTACCCATGAAGACTATGGAGCCAGGGCTAGATTTGCTATCAGAGTGTATATAAAGACCAGAGAGTGGGACCTGTTTCCAGAAGTTTCCGGTATACCTCCAGTTGCAGTTGTAGACTTATCTTTGGATAAAAGGATCTGGAAGAAGATATAAATTAATCAGAGGGCATGGAATCCTGGAAACACACAGTGTAAGAATGGAAGGGTTCTTACAGAGACCATTTGTCTATCACTTGTTCTCATAGATGAAATTGAGGCCCAGAGAGAAAAATGTATCACCTTCCTTGCATTTCTGTGTAGTAACTTCCCCACAACCCCTACCCCAAGTTCACTCAGGTAGTTAATGGCAGAGTCAGGATTAAAAATCAGGTCCTCTGGTTAGAGCCAGCCTCATTATCTGCTATCCTAACTCCACATTATGTTCTGCTCTGGCCGATGTTTCATTTTCCATAATGAGAAAAAGATTAGAGAATATAGATTGATTGGACAGTTCCGTTCATTTAAAGATCCCCACAACTTGGGCCTTTATTTACAGTCTTTTTCCACTTAGTACCCTTGGTAGAGGGAAAAGCCAAGGCCAGTATGTTCCCTTAGCATAGGAATTATCTTCTATCTTCATAGCCCCATTGAACTTAGAAAAGTTTGGTCATCATTTAAAGTAAAATTAAAAGTTTGGGTCATATTTTTAAAAACATCATCTGTTTAAGACAGTATTAGGAAAGGGAAAGAAATTGTGATGAAAACTTTACCATTATTTTAATTTCCAGATGCATATTTTACATGCATATTCTAAATACGCTACATGGTTCTCAACAAGCATGAAATATAGGAGGTGTTTTGTGCTCACTTTGGCAGCTCATACACTAAAATTGGCATGATAACAGAGAAGATTGGCATGGCCCCTCAACAGGGATCACACAAACACACACAAGAAATATAGGAGATGTTTTAGACTATAGTTGTGTTATAAATGACAGCCAATTCTGCACTCATGTTTTTGTTTGTGGTGGAAATATCTTTCTATAGCAATCTTTCATGATATGACTTTTGTTTTTTGCGGTCCAACTGAAAGTTAAAAATACTTTTATAACCTTTACTCTTAATATGCTGAAACCAATTTATTTTTTAGCATACCAGTTGCAACAGTTGTGTCTACCTAAATCTTTGAAAGATGAGTCACTCTGAAGACAATTAGGAAAATAAAATAATTAAAAATATATATTTAATGGATAGGTAAAAAGTCCTTCCATTTTTATTTCCTAAGATTTGGAGTGAGACCATGTGGAAGCAATGAGATTTAGGTATACAACAGTATTAATGTGCTCTTAATATTAATATTATAGTCATTTTATGAATAAGTGCTGGTGATAAGGGTTTTAACTTTATTATTCCCATTATAATTGGAGTCTTTTGTTGCATATATTTGGTTAATTTTGGTTATGGGTTTTTAAGCAAGTTGAGGAAAATTTTTTCTAAATTAAATTCTATCTGGTAATAAATATTTATGATCAGAGCTTATGAAAGACAAATATTTACTAGAAATAGTTATCCAAATAGGCATTTTGAATATTCATATATTCACTCTTGTTTTTTAATTAGTGGCTTCATATATTCATTTGGTTTTCCTTAGTTGGCTGAGTTTTATAGTCATGCTTTCATTTTAATTTTTATTTTCTATAACTGTCTCATCAAAAGAATGTGAGCTATCTACTCACAATTTTTAAGTTTCAGATGCTACTGCTGGAACATATTCTTTAAAACGTGTCTTTAAAACAGCTATGTATTTAGCAATTAAACATATTTATTGAGTTATTGCTATGCACTAGGTACAGAGGAAGCACTTGGGGGTTTGATGCCAAGGTAGATACTATTGCTGCTCTCCTAGAGCTTACAATACAGAATAACCGCTAAGAGCTTCAGTTTCGAAGTGAGATAAAGTTGGGTTTGAATTCCAGCTCTGATACTTGGTAGCTGGGTAACTTTGCATAAGTTACTTAACTACTCTGAGCCTCATTTGTAAAATGAGAATACTGAAAACAATATCCATCTCATAGAATGGTTATAAGGATTGAACAAGATAATTAATGCAGACCTGTACTACAGTGCTTGGCACAGAGAAGGGTAAGCACTGCGTAAATGGCAGGAGTGAGTAGATATTTGCAATATTGGATGCAGCCCCCTATAGAAAAGGGGACAAAGTTTCCATAGAGTGCTATGGAAACAAGTTGTTGAGTTAATATCATCATAGGATAAAAACCCAATGCCCCAAGGATGCTTGGAGTACATTAGCAATATTTCAGTTTTTAAATTCTGGAACGAAATGGGCATTTTATTTCCTACAGAAAGTGATTTTTCATTTGCACTTCAGGTGATTTGCATGGAAAATTAGATGATCTCCTCTTGATCTTCTCCAAGGTAAGTGATTATTTTGCTAAATATTTGCATTTTTGTTGGGGGAGGGCAATCCTAGGGCAGATAACAGTATTAGTTTTAGTAGGGATATGTACAAATACAGATGTAATATAATAGTTTTTAATGCAAGAACCTGAAAAACTTGTAGAGGGAAATCTTTTGAGTTTTTCTTCCACATATTTCATAAAATTTTTTAAAAATTTAATTTGGGCCTTTGTTCAGTATTATTGTTATCTGTATAGCCCTTAGGATTTGTACCCAATTGTATTTATGGTCTTTATTACATCATAAATATGTAGATGGCACAGGATGGGGAGGGGAGGAGTCTGTTTTATTTTATTTTATTCAGAAGTGAGCATATGACATCTTCTCTTTAAATGCACGCTAATTATGTATTAAAGGAGTTCCCCACAGTGAGTTCCAAATTGCTCTCTTCTCTACCCGGTTCACCATTGCTGGGCTCAGTTGCTTTTCCACTGCCATGACTCTTCTTCATTTATCGGGTTTGGGAGTGGGAGCCCACACAGAGGGCACAGAGCAGCTTGGCCTGCATGGAAGGAGGAGAGGCTTTTCCCTGAGGCTGGCAAAGTGTTAGTGTTTTAATGGCTCTGAGGAGCAGGTAGGCCTTCCCCACACATGACCCTGAGGTGTCCATCCTGTGGAAGAATAGGTCCTTTCCTTCCGCCATCTTTAAGGGAGGCCCAGATTTCCAGAGGGAGGTCTTTCCGAATGAGTTGAAGGCAGAAGGGAGTTTATTTACCATGAAATGAGGATTCTACTGGCCAAACTGGAAAGCTGTGGGAGAGGTAAAAGTGATAGACTGGTGGGAGGACACCAAGGAGTTGCACAGTTTGGAGAATGGGATTTGTGTAATTCTACATAGCACCATATAAATGTTCAAAAGTTCAGTCCTGCTATTGTTGACAGTTACAACCTGAGGAAGAGCGGGGGCCAGCGGTAAGTGGGGAATCACCACAACAGAAATTCTGGTAATTATTTTTCTAGAGGTTTTGGAAAATACATAAAAGGGAAAATAATTGAGTAAATTACATGGGAAAAATGACTTTCGAGGCATTTAGAAAAGAAATTTTCTTGAGAGGTAGTTGAAGATATTAAGGTGTGATTAGGGAAAGGACTCTGGAGTAGACATGAAAAAAAGAGATTTTTAACATGTTCCTTTAATTCCATTGGCAAAACTATATGCAACATGGAATCTAATAAACAACTGAACTAACAAGCAAAACAGAGACAAACTCATCGATGGAGAGCAGGCTGACAGCTCAGGGTGGGGAAGGGGTTAGGAGGTGGAGGGATTGAGCTAAAAGGAAAAAGGACTCATGGACATGGACAACAGTGTGGGGATTTGGCGGGGAGAGGGTAAAAGGGGACTAAATGCTATGGAAAAAATACAATAAAAAAAAGCGAAAACTATATGGAACATAAAAAACTGGAAGGTGCTAATGTAAAGATTGAACAGGAGGAGGTGGGTGGTAAGAAGTACTATAAAAAGAACTAAAGGTGAAAACATAGCATTCACATGAGCGCAAGAAATATTTTGAGAGTTAACCAGTGACAGTGTTCAGGGAGCAGAGATTGAGAGCCCAGCCATGAAGCAGTGGGCACTATTATCTGGGGTAGATTTGGGTAGAGGCAGGTGAGAGGTGTTGTTTGGAAAGCAGAAGGCTGCAGGAGCCATGAATTAGAATTTTAGCAGGCTTCAATGAGAAGCAGGTAAAAATGCATCTCGGATGTGGATTAAACCACATGCACCAGAATCTTGAAATCGCTTGGTGTAAAAGGAGAAAGTGAGGGAAAAGACCTTGATAACGGCAAGGTTCCACTTTAAGAAACAGAAAAGACGGTGTAGTTAATAATGGTGCCTGAGAAGGGAGAATGACCTGGTGTGCTTGCAATGATGGGAAGTCACTTAGTATATGGGTAATGAGTGTCCTGAGTTAAAGGCCGAGAAAGAAAAGGGCAGGACAGAGATGGCTCAGGAAGCTATGCTGTTTGATGATCTCTAACTTATAAAAAGATAAAGTCAGCATTCTGCCTTTTTCTTTCTCATTTTTAAAGAAGATTTTATTCATTTTTAGAGAGAGGAGAAGGGAAGGAGAAAGAGAGGGAGGGAAACATCGATATGAGAGGGAAACATCAACCACTTGCCTCTCGTATGCACCCCCACTGGGGACCAAACCTACAACCCAGACGTGGACCCTGACCAGGAATCGAACTGGCAACCTTTTGCTTTGCAGGATGACGTACAAGCAACTGAGTTACACCAGTCAGGGCTTTTTCCCCCTCATTTTTTAATCTGAAATTTAAATGAGGAATGATGATAGATGGCAGATGTAGGGAATAGTGCTACCTAAAACCATGAATACAGACTGTTCTGGAAACAGTGGTTTTATATACATGCAAATGACAGTGATAGCCATCCTGTCCATAGGTGAAACAACTGACTAATTTAGTTATTTTTTATCACCCCTTATCAATTCTACAGAAACCTAGAATTAAGTAAAAAGGGCCTCTGAGCTTTTGAAATTATTGCCACAAATCCAATGTACTTTTAACTCAGAGGAGAGGTCTTAGGCCTCTGAAGATGTATCAGTAAAACCTGACTTGACACACTGCCTGCGAGTTTCCCAGCCTGGCTTCCCCGCCCCTTCCGCAGCAGATTATGGAGTGGGAGGGGAAAGGCCAAAGTGAGATACAATGACTGCGATTGAAAAGTAAAGATGTTCCTGACAGTAAGAGAAGATCTAGAACTCTACCAATGAGCCAGGAAATGAAGTAGTAATCTTCGGGAATCCGGGGCTGTGTGCATAGAGAAGAGCTGTCTGTAGCTCCCAGAGGGCTCTGAGGGCATGCTTAGCTTGATGTGCCTGCAAGGCCAAGAAGGTTTCTAGTTCTAAGATGTACGCTCTGTTAAGTAAAGAAACAGAGGGCACATTTTAAAAACTCCCAGCCAAAGTGGTTCAAATAATTTTAAAATGTATTCTAGCTTTTAAAGGAGTTCCGGTGATCTGGAAGATTCATTTCAGCAATGCTTACAGTATGATTATCATTATTGGGTTTTAGTGAACATAAAAAAAAATGAGATTAATTGAGAGAAGAGTAATGGGCGAGGGACATAGATGAGGAAGGAAGGAAGACTATCTTAAAATGAGGAGAAAGGCGGGGACGGGTGGACTCTGTTTTTGGCCTGTGCTGGGATTACAACAGGTGCTATGATCCAAGCAATCGCTTGTTTGCTTGGGGAAATGGTAGTTTCTGTGATGGTGGCTGATTCTCACTGTGATACTCAACGCACCAACAACGTGTTGAACCCCAGTTATCTGTAATGCTTTGCACGTGGTGCTTTCCCCTGGCTCATTCGTAGGAGCCCACAGAACTGAGCTGCCCCAGTGTCAGCCATAGGCTAGCTGTCTTCTATTTAGAAGCAGCCAGTGACCATGCTTTAACTGATCCTTACGTAATTTATTATTTATTTAATCAAAATTATCGACTTATCTGTATTTTATTTATTAAAATTAT